TTTCTGCTATAATGTTATTGTTTACTATTCTCCATTGTAAACCGAGTAGATTGAAGTCTCTCAAGAAAGATAATATCTGGTACTGGGTTTGCTAGGTTATCAAGGATATTCTCTATTTTGTGGATCTGCTCAGTGAATTTCTCAACTGTTGCATCTGGTGGTTTGTATATTAGAATAATAATTAGATTTATATTTTCTACCTTGATTCCAAGTACCTCTACCACCTCATTGGTAGAGTTCAGGAGCTCTGTGCATGCCGTGACATCTAAACGACCAAACGTTTTAGATGTCGAGTAGTTGAACTGAAGGTTACACAGCAGAACTCTGGTCTGTAGGTTTACTTAATAACCACCAGCATTTAACCAGTGAGGCTGGCCCCCGTTACAACACCCTGACGCCACTTCATGAAGGGGCCTGACGGCCGAGTGGACAGCGTTCGGGATTCGTTGTCCTAAGGGTCCAGGTTCAATCCCTGGTGGAGGTGGAAACAGGCAGTTTCTTTCACCCTGATGCATCTGTTCACCTAGCAGGAAATAGGTACCTGGGAATTAGCCAGCTGCTATGGGCTGCTTCCTGGGTGTGTGCGTGTTCACCTAGTTCTACTTGCGGGTGCTGAGCTCTGCTCTTTTGGCCTGCCTTCTCAACTGTCAATCATCTGTTGCTTACTATTAGTTTTTTCCACACACGCACCCTCAGGAAGCAGCTCGTAACAGCTGTCTAATTCCCAGGTACCTATTTACTGCTAGGTAACAGAGCATCAGGGTGAAAGATACTGCCCATTTTGTTTCTTGCCGTCACCGGGAATTGAACCGGGCCACAGGATTATGTATCTGGTGTGCTATCCACACAGCCACCGGCACCCCTGTGGATATTACAAGTTGTAACAAGCGGAAAATAGACAGTTTCAGTTTGTGCTTCCAGGGCAGGGTGCACCCAGAAATTGGTGTTTCATTACATTCAACACTGGCTTTTCAAATACACAAACATAGCAAATTTTAAATCTCATGCAATGTAAAAAGCTGTCATATTAGCCAGTTAAAGCTAATCCACGAGAGCTTTTTTTTTAAAGGTTAGTAAATATTTCATTATTACTGGTAATATATATTCAGCACCAAGAGGTACAACATGTCATTATGTGCCTAAACCTACAGACTTGAATCCACACAAAGTACCTGTTGTATGATATTCACAGTGCCTATTTGATGACTTTAACATTTACAGGTATATATAGAATAATAAAAATATAAAACTTACATGAGGGTATACACTAGAACAGGTTATTGTATTAAGAGTTAACTAAATATAAAATGTGTCTAATGTTATGAAACGTTACTTACAATATTATAAAACCTGTTAAGACTAGGAATGTGAGCTTCAGACGTCCATGGCAAAACCATACTGGAATTTATAATTTTTATTATATAAAGTTTATAATTATTGCAAAACATTTCAATATCCTGTACTGTAATTTGTGTGTTTTTAGGTTGCATGTTATGCATGGACATTTTTAGTGTAAAATACTGTAGTTTATAACATTAGTTTTGGATAAACACTGCCACTAGAGGGTGTTTATTTTTCCCAAACATGTAATTTAGATGTGGTTCTCAACATCCAATATGTATAAGGACACCTCTATAGTAACCTGGAATTTACAGTAAAGCCATATTATTTTCAGACTAGGAATGATAACTTCTGGGGCAATTAAAGTGTAATTTTTATATCAATAAATCAACTGTATCCTCCAAAAATGATAGCCCTATAGAGACTATGGATGGAATGTAGGCCTTATGCACTGTTGCACAAGAAAAAAAATCACATGTTTTGTAATATTGGGTGGAGTTTTTAAAGGGTCCAAGGAAGAAGGCAACAAGCAAATCTAACCCTTCTTAGGCCTAGTGTAGTGTAGTGTAGTGTGTGTGTGTGTGTGTGTGTGTGTGTGTGTGTGTGTGTGTGTGTGTGTGTGTGTGTGTGTGTGTGTGTGTGTGTATATGTATGTATATATGTATATGTCGTACCTAGTAGCCAGAACGCACTTCTCAGCCTATTATGCAAGGCCCGATTTGCCTAATAAGTCAAGTTTTCCTGAATTAATTTATTTTCTCTAATTTTTTTCTTATGAAATGATAAAGCTACCCATTTCATTATGTATGAGGTCATTTTTTTTTTATTGGAGTTAAAATTAACGTAGATATATGACCGAACCCAACCAACCCTACCTAACCTAACCTATCTTTATAGGTTAGGTTCGGTTAGGTAGCCGAAAAAGTTAGGTTAGGTTAGGTAGGTTAGGTAGACGAAAAACAGTTAATTCATGAAAACTTGGCTTATTAGGCAAATCGGGCCTTGCAAAGTAGGCTGAGAAGTGCGTTCTGGCTACGACATATATATATATTATATATTATATATTACAGCCATTTTGGGTGCAACAGTCTCTATTTTGTACATTCCTTCCACAGTTGCTATAAGTACTATAATTTTTAGAGGATAAGTTGGATAAATACCATGAGCATAAATCTCAAGAAATAACAAAAGCACCATTGCCTCACTGGAAACAATGTGAAATATATTTTCTGCTCTCAAGACAAACTAAAATATATAAAAATATCAAGGTGTGCGCAATACACGACTGAAAATCTAATCCACACACACGCACTCACACTAGGTAATTACACTTGGGTAATTTACACACGACTGAATATGCAGCGGTTGTATGGTGCCCATATCTTAAGCACATCAACAGACGGGAAAAGGTGCAAAGACATGCACTTAAATGGCTCCCAGAACTGATGGACAAGATCTACAAGAAGAGGTTAGAGACACCAAGTATGCCAAAACTAAAAGATAGAAGAGTTGATATGATCACTATGTACAAAATAGTAGCGGGAATCTATAAAATTGATAGGGAAGAATTCCTGAGATCTGGAACTTCAAGAACAAGAGGTCATAGATACTAACTAAATAATGCTGTTGAAGAAATATAAGAAAATTCACTTTCACAGAGTTGTAGACTGTTAGAACAAGTTAGGCGAGAAGGTGGAGGAGGCCAAACCATCAGTAGCTTCAAAGCATTATATGACAAAGTGCTGGGAAATGGGACACCATGAGCGTAATTCTCATATTGTAACTGCACCTAGGTAATTACACACACACACACACACACTTTACCCATACCATTCTCCACATAACACACAGGAATGTACACTGGTCCACAATGATCCTGGATAATATACTTGGTCACCAACCACAATATATATTTTTTATAAGTATTACTTGCAACATAAAATACAAAACGTTTTTCTTCAATCTCTTTCCTATGAACACATGGAAGCTCTGTTGCATTATCACTTTTCATGGTTCACCTTCCATGATCCGGAAAGCACTGAAGTATATTCCAGTTTGTACAGTATTTTTACAGGAATGAGATGAATGGTAATTTATATATGAATTCTTGGAATGAATCTAAACTTTGCTTTCAGGTCCAATGGCATGATGCTGGAAGCTCTCTCTTATCCGTGTTAAGTGCATGGCAGTGGCAGGGCCATAGACTTTGTTGTACCACTCTGGTGTTCTCCCTCTGAAAGAAATTTGAAAATTAATATATACAAATTCTAAGGTGTTCTATAGCGATATATTCAAATTCTATAGTGAGATGAAGTAAAGGTCGAGAGAAATAGGTGTGAGGAAAGATGGCAATAATGTGAAAAGGCAGGAAAATTGCAGGAAAGGGAGAGAAAAATTTTAATTATTCTAATGGTCCATTCTACTATATTGTAGAGTTAATGGAAAGGGAATAGCAGTGAAAACAACATATGAAGAGGAAAATGGGAAAGGGCATTAGGTAGGATGCAAGGAAGAAATAAGGATAGACAAATCAGACAATGGAATCAGTCCTGGCTCATGGTCCCAGGTAGGCAAGAACTCCAATCAACTCATGGCACGGTCTGATAAATACACATCAGCCCAGTAAGCTCCGGAGAGCAGTAGGGGCTTCACACAGAAAGGAAGTTATGTTGAAAGAAAAAATAAAGACCGAGAGGGGAAGGTGATGGTTGATGAGATTGACTGAGGCTGAGAGAGTTGGTGATGGAGAGGTTGGCCAGGAAGAAAGAGTAAGCAAATTTCACTCTAGTACAATACAAACAGTTTTTGTAACTGTTTGTATTTTAAAGTAGGAACAATTTATGTTTTACCAGATAAGCCACATGCACTTTTACGATTTTTTAATTACACAAGTATTAATCCCTAATACAATATATAGGTAATTGAACCAGATACCAAAACTCGGTCTTCAATTGTTTTATAAATTTTACAGACTAGTACAAAACTTTTCTTCATTGTGTAACAGTTTCAGAGCAAATTAATATTAAATAAAAAACTTCATTAATATTTTAAAGCATACTAATGTGTATGAGCAGAAGGGAGTAAGAATGAGAAGAAGGTTTATGAAAGAATGTTGAGTTCAGGGCAAGACAAGTAATGAGAGACTTTCATTCCTCATTAAGCATACCTCATCAACTCAAATAAATATGAAATTGACATGCTGAACGAACATACCTCATGTCCAGTCTTGATATGTGTGTTATCCTTGATTTCCCAGAACCACAAGGTTGAATTAGATGCCGTGAAGCTAAGACTATACCCCGAACACCTCCAACAAGCACTGGAGCATCAGCATGTTCTACAGAGGTTTCCACAACCACACAACTTCCCCGTGCCAGATCACTCCGCCAACATCTGGGGGAAAAAATCAATTTGTTCAGTTTCAAGAAAGTGATACTACTGAAACATATCAACAACAAACTTGCCAAGTCACCATTATTTTGTCTGCATTTGTGTAATACCACTATGTGGTGACTGCACTACTGTATTTAGGTAGTGACCAAATCATTATAAAGATATTGGCAAATATTTCTCAAAGTCTTTAAGCATTTTAAAGTGACTGAAAAATCAAATGTAGCCTCAAAGGAGGTTATAAAAATAATCTTCATAAATTAACAGGAAGTACACCAAAAAAACCAGCGTTGAATGTAATGAAACACCATTTTCTGGGCGAGACCCAGAGGCTCCCTGGAGCTTACTACGCTGATATGCTAATGTTAGACTTTGGCATCAATTATGTGTATGGAGTTCTGTTGGGCCTACCGGGGACCATAAGCCAAAACCTGGCCACCTCGGAGAGGCATGGGAAGCAATAGCATATAGAAACCCCCGTGTTTTTGGAAGAATTCTATGTCTGCCATTGACCGGGTCAGGCTCCCAGAAAGGTAAGCATCCCAAAACAAACCCCTATTCTGATGAAATTAGTGCTACTAAAAGCTGAACAAGTGGATAGAACTCCCCCTAAAAGAAACGAGCAAACGATCATGACATCACATGTCGCCGCGCCGCTGTCTGCACAGCTTCCCCTTACCTGGGAGGGGAAAGGGAGAGCCCTAGACCCCTCACGCTGGCTATCCACCCATCAGTTCTGAGGCTGGATGTCAAAACACACTAAAAAAACGCCAACTGGGGAAGGGAGGGATGCCGGGGAACCTCCGGGTCTCACCCAGAAAATGGCGTATCATTACATTCAATGCTGGTTTTCTGGGGGGGTGGGCCCATCAACTCTCCAGAGCTAACTACCCACAGAGGAAAAATGTAGGGACTTACCCGGGAGGCGGTCGTTGCTCACTCCACAACGTGAAGGTGAGACCACTGGCTGCAACCGCCAACCCAAAATGACACAGGTCCAACGAAGCCCCGGGACATGCACGAGGCAATGAGCAGCCAGGACCCTGTACGACCGCCAAAAGCCTCATGCTCGAATGTCAGCCCAGGACAAGGTGCCAAAGACAGCAGCAAGAGCAGCAAACTTACGAATGTCATGGGCACGGGGATAGACCGCAGGCTGGCTGGCCTGAAGTACTCTGCAGACGACCTGGGAGACCTGCACCCTCGAACAGGGAAGAAGGGAAACCTGTATTAACCCAAAATGCGTCCCCGGATGCAAAAGCCGTGGCACGCAATAATGGCGAAGAGCCACCACCGGACACAAAACACGATGCACCCCCGGCCCAACAACCCAGGGACCCCTCCAGAAAGCAGCAGTCTCATTCTTTGTCAGAAAAGAAGGAAACGGCTGCAGACAAACAAAACCACCACGAAGAGCGAAAGAGCAGAAACCTCTGCTGCGGAGGAGAGCATGAAGCTCCCCAACCCGACCCCCCAGAGGCCAATGCCAACAGAAAAAGGAGCCTTAGAGAACAATCCCGAACTGAAGGGGCCACAACAAACCAAAGAGAAGAAAAGAGCACTCAGTCCAATGACCAGGACGGCTCAGGTGGCGCAAGAGCCATCTCAGTAATACCAAATTTAACGCTGTAGGACAAGTGTGGAGTTAACAACCCTGAAAAGAATAGAAACATTTCGTCGCTGTTTGGCGCTCACGGCTAGTGATCGATGTAGTTCTTTATTTGGTGCTGGTCTAATTCATGCTTTGTGACATTTTATACATATGTTCTTCTAGAACATTCTATTGCGAACACATTGCTACAAAAATGAAATACGTACATCGAAAATTAAGGTCAGGACAGTGAAAAAGTGAAAAGAGTATACACTTTTCAGTGTTGCCGCTCGATCGCCCGAAATGCCGCGCGCACAAGGGGCAAGTTTTTTCTCGATTGCCGGGAGCGCGAAAGTGTCAAGATGATTAGATTCCATTTATATTTAGTCTACCATATGCTATAGAGTTTTTAATGCAAGGCCAATATTTCCTTGACAAGAATGGAAGTTATAGACAAAATATTAGTTTAAACATGATTATGCAAAACAGTATTTACAAGACTAATCTTTCAAATTTTAATTACCACGAATAAAATTAAATTAAGCATCCACATTATTCAATCAATAATTTCAGATACATGTTTACTATATACAGAATAATGTAAGTCACATGAATTTAACATTAATGACTATCCTGCAAACACACAATGTAACAGTTCCTATTGTTACTTTTTTTACAAAGTTGTTACCGCTTGTTATAAAGCATTTTTGACATTAGAAAGTTGTTACAACTTATTAGAAAGTGTTACAACTAGCTGGAACACTGTAGCAACGTTGCAGTTTTGTCGTGTGTTTGGCGGGATTACAAAATCATTACTCGGACATTAATCAAATACCTTAATACGCAGTAGTCCACTGGAGGTCGCGGAGTCATCGAATTGCACATGTACTGGAAAACTTCAGCCTGGCGATCTAAACGACATACTACTCTCCATTTCAATAGGGAATCATCCCATAAATGCCTGAAAAAAATGTCCTTGATTAGTTTTCTCTATTGTATCCCTCTTTTGAGCTAGGTTAAAATATCTAGCCTGAATGCATTAGCTATAAGAACACAAGAGTTAAGAATGTCTGAATGTCAAGAGTAAAGTGTTGCCCGCAATGCTATGCGTGCTAGTGGCTTTACAAGAATGTAAAATCAACTTCATTTCTATGTTCTCTCTTAACCCCCCAATGTACCTTCTTGTATGTAAATAAATAAATAAAATGTACCTTCTTGTATGTAAATAAATAAATAAAATGTACCTTCTTGTATGTAAATAAATAAATAAAATGTGGCAGAAGGCCTATTGGTCTATACAAGGAAGCTCCTATTTATAGCCACCCAAACTTATTCACATAGAATATATTGTATGTCTGAAGCCATCCAGTAATCCCACAGCTATTATGTTACCTGTAATTTGTTCCATTAATCAAAAACCCTATTTCAAAAGCAGTATTTACCCAGGTTTTTTCCTGACTCTGAACTCATCCACTTTGAGAAAATCAGTAGGAGCCATGATGAGGATTTGAACCTATGCTCTAGGTTAGATTATTACGTTTATATTAGGTCACATTATTTCATTTATATCTATTTTTTTTTGGTGTGTTTTATTTAATGTTAATATTTTTAAAGCTTTATGTCCCTTTTTAAATCCTTTCAACAATCTCTAATCATGTCACACCTTATTCTTTGTTTCTAGAAAATACATATTACGCTTTTGAGCCCTCTAAATGCGACTATAATAAATCGTGCCACTCTGCCTGTGCATTGTAAGGGAGCAGGGGAACAGCAATTAGAGTTCCTGGACCTATCAGAGCAACCCATCAGTCATGACCTGATCAACACACCTGAAAAGTGGAAAGGAGGGTCCAAGGAGCCACTAAGGACCCACCAGAAAGAGATGTTTTATTACATTCAACACTCATTATTTGGGAGGACTTCCTTGGTGTGACTCTGTTGATATCTCACCACATACAAAATTCTCAGGAGAATTGGTAAGATAGATAAGGACAGATTATTTAACATGTGTGTGGTACTCGTACAAGACGACACAGGTGGAAACCTAGTACCCAACTGAGCCATTAGAAAGAACTTTTTCAGTGTCAAGAGTAGTTAATAAATGGAATGCATTAGGAAGTGATGTGGAGGAGGTTCACTCCATACAGTTTGAAATGTAGATATGATAGAGCTCAATAAGGAACCTGTACACCAGTAGATTGACAGTTAAGAAGCGGGACCAAAGAGCCAAAGCTAGGCAAGTACATAGAACAAAAACAAATGGGGGAACTCACCAGGGGCAGAGAAGAGCAGAAAGCAGAAGTCCCTGGAGAAGGGAAAGAGTACCTGTTATTCCTATCCAACATCATACAAGCCCAGCATGGCCCTGCCTCAATAACAAGATGTTGCAAGCACTCTTTCAGAAGGCCAAAATCTCCAACATCAAATAACAGCCAAAGAACACCAGTTCTTTTCTGTACTTTTACTTTTTTTTCACCAGTATTAAAGAAAATAGCAGACAATGTCTCTAACCTCCAAACATCATGGGCTTGAGGGAAGACCATAGGCTGACTAAACTTAGACACTATCAACGACCTGATAAACGAGTCTTGGAACAAGGTACCAAAGACACCAAGTCACGGAACAATGTGGAACCCAGAAATGCATTCCAAGTGGTGCAATCTGGCAACCCGAGGCGCATTACTAAGTTAACCAACATCAGTGATGGAAATGACAGAACTGATCCTGGAGCTGGCTGTTGGTTGGGCACTCCAAGATACTTGATGGTGGCCATCAGTACTAATGGATTTGAGCCAGTTTCAAGTGAACCAATTTCAATGAATTAATCATTTATGGAGCTGCTTGGCTGTTTAAATGCTTTGGTTTCTAAAACTTGCAATTGTCTGCAGAGCTTTGCTGATTTTCTGGATGTTTTCCTGGTTAGGGAATATGATGATAATTCCCTGCTTTTTAGGCTTTTGTGAAGCAGCCAGGTTCTGGCTTTGATCCCAGTAGGCCAAAAGGGGCTCCTATGACTGATGTAACCTAGTAGTGGAGAGCCATCTCAGTGAAATAGCTTCAGGAAGACAACAAGGGGCTCCTCCCAGAAAATATTTTGATTCCTCAATCACATGTGCTTCAATCCGCCTCAAATCCTGTCAAGTTTGGTGCAATGTTATGGGGGAAAGGTGCAAACCTAACAATAGGTTGAACTTATCCTGCATTAAAGTGTTTCCACAGTCAGCATTATTGACTTACCTTTCTCTAATGACACGATTCAACAGTTCTGATGGTGGAGCTTCAACCTCTGTTGTTGCTCTCCACAAACGTAGTGGGTGGCCATCTCCAACTTTGCGGTAAAGTATCTCTACATTAGAATCGGCGCAATTCATATGTACCCATCCTCGAGATCTGTAGTGAAATGACTTTTGGATAAATAAAGGCATAAAATTTTTAGAATAAAGATTCAAACATTTAAACATTATACTGTATTAACTTTGCCAAGGTGTAAAACAACAAAAATATTAATAATTAGTTTTTTAAAGAATGATACATTTGTATGCAAAAGTAAAGAAAAAGAAAAATCCAAACATCATCTACATCTACGTCTTTTCTGGTTTGGTGAGGTATGCCCAGTAGCTAAGTGATGAGGGTGTCCTGATCAACACTAGACGCACGGCTTGCTGACACAGTGGTGCACATTACTTAATTTGACTGTTTTCTTTATGTTGGGAAACCATAGGAGGACGGGCTTGCTAATGAGCTCATGATAGTTTTGAGACACTCAATCGTTTGTTAACATTGTTTGAGGAACACATTTGGCAGTTTCAAGAACTTCAGTCTCTTTAAACCTAGCAGTGGTCTGAATTGGTTCTCTGACTTTCTGGATGCTTTCCCAGTGGGGTGGCAGAGTGTCACCTACTCTCTCTCTGCCTCTGAGGGAGCTAGGTTCTGGCTCTGGGCCCCAGTAAGCCAAACTGAAATCCACAGTTGTGACGTAGTAGTTGGGAGCCATCTCGGCAAGATTAGCTTTAGGGAGCTGCCAGAGCTCATCCAAAAAGAGGCATTTCATTACAATCAAGGCTGGTTTTTTTAATTTGTATTTAATACAAGTGTTCAAACACAGAAAATTTATATTAAAAAATCACTGAAAAATAAACCTCAATTCTAAGCCTCAAGCCAAAAATAAGCCTCAGAAAAATAAGCCTCCTTCTAAGTACAGTACTGTTATAAAATTAAGTAACTGAACTTTATTAGTAATTGCGAATTATTGACTTTAAATTATGAATAATGTATGTGGACTAAGATATGTATATATATATACCTGTCTCTTGCTTCCTTCAGTAAAGATGTGATGCAAGCATTCATATAGGAAGCCCAGTCTCCTTCCATGGAATTTGCCCCTGGAGAACCCATTACACCTAGGTCCTCAAGACACACTGGCTGACTCTGCTCCAAGTATGTAAATCGGCAGTTGGACAACATCTCCACAGGCACGCATTGAATGTGACTGACCTGTGAATAATTAAAATTTGATAAAAAACCAGCATAGAATGTAATGGAACGTCATTTTCTGGGCAAGACCCGGAGGCTCCCCAGAGCTATCCGAGCTGACATGAATGCATTAGACCCTGGGCCAGGCTGACATGAATGTATTAGTCAATGTGCATAGAGTTCTAGGCCTGCCAGGGACCACAAGCCAAAACCTGGCCCCCACTCAGAGAGGCACAACGGGGGCTCTAACCACCACATTTGCCGGTGGAAAACGCACCACAGAAGAAAGGGCAAAACACTTTACCCAGAGAGAACCCCCGGTTAAAACAACCAGAATGGACTGAAAACTGAGGGACAAAGGCATGGGAGTAAGCAGAACAAACAGGCCAGGACACCGGGCCCACAACCCTAACAGAAAGCACCGGTACTCTGGAGGACACCTGGCCACCACACACGACACTGCAAAGGTCAGCACGAAGGCAAACACTGCTTGGAAAGCAAGGCCAGAGAAGACATCCGCCCCAGTTCACACTAGCTGACAAATTGAAGTGCTAGGCAGCTAGTGCAGGGGGTCTGGGGCTTCCCCTTCCCCCTCTCAGGAAGGGGAGGGTTGTGTGGATGAGCGGCGCGACTACAAGGTGTGATGTTTGCTTGTTTCCATGGGATTGGAGGGAGTTCTGCCTCTCGGTTGCAATTTTCTTACCATGTGGGGTCTGTTTTGTTATGCCTAACTTTCTGGGTGACTAACCCCAGTCGATGGTAAATAAGGAAAATCCCAACCACAGGGGTCTTTTCGAGGGCCCATTGCTCCCTGTGAAGTACTGTGCATTCGGCTTGGAACCTGAGGGGGGCCAGATTCTGGCTCATGGTTGCCAGCAAGCTGAACTCCATAGACTAATGCCCTGGTCTAATGATTCACATATTAGCCCAATAGCTCCAGGGAGTCATAGGGACTCCCCTCACAGAAAACATTTGCTTCCAGTGTACAGGCATACCTCAGAATGCGAGTTTAATCCGTTCCTGGAGACGCCTCGCCTTCCGAAAACTCGCATTCCGAAGTTAATTTCCCCATAAGAAATAAAGGGAAATGAATTAATCCGTTCCTGACTACCCCAAAAACCCCACATCAAACTAAATTTTTATACCTAATTCATCTAAATAAACCTACAAAAGTATGTTCCAGTTATTACTTACCTTACTGTCGAGTGCTGTAGGCGTATGGAAGATGGTGAGGAGGGGGGAGGAGGAGAGGAGTTAGTGTTTGGAAGGGGAGTCCCCTTCCATAATCACATCAAGCAGTGAGGACCTTTCTGGTGTGCTCTCCCTGGGACGTTTAACCTGAGTGCCACTAGGTCCTGGTTGAGGTTCACTGCTCGATTTCTTCACCAAATATTTGTCCATGAAAGCTTGCTTTTCCCTTCTTCGCAAGCTCTCTCTGTAGTAAGGCATCACACTGTCATTGAAAAGATTAAGACAACGGCCTACTACAGTTTTGTCTGGGTGAGTGTGTTCAATAGTTGTTTGAATCTCTTCCCACATCTGACACACCTTCTTCATTACTGCAGAAGGGACATTCGCTGGTGCTGTTGCCACCACCTCCTCCTCCACTGCAGAATCATTCGCTGCTGTGTTGGCTTCCTGTTCCTGTTGAAGGGCTAGGAGTTCTTCGGTGGTCAGTTCTTCGTTGTGTTCTTCCACCAACTCCTCCACATTATCACCATCCAATTCCAAGCCCATTTTCTGGCCTAGACTAACAATTTCCTCAACAATAGGCGCATCATTTATAGGCTCAAACCCCTCAAAGTCTAGTTCTCTCACACCTTCAGGCCACAATTTTCTCCAGCCAGAGATCAGGGTTCTTTGAGTCACTTCTTGCCAGGCTTTGTCAACGAGTTTTAAAGCACTAAAAATGTTAAAATGCTCTCTCCAGAACTCTTTGAGGGTGAGGTTTGTGGCTTCAGTCACTTCAAAACATTTCCGGAAAAGTGCCCTTTCATACAGTTTCTTAAAATTCGCTATGATTTTCTGGTCCATAGGCTGAATTAGAGGAGTGGTGTTAGGAGGAAGGAATTTAACTGTGAGGAATTTATTGCATTGAGGCATCAAATCATCTTCCAAGCCTGGAGGATGAGCAGGAGCATTGTCAAGGAGAAGCACGGCTCTGAGTGGCAATTGTTTCTCCTGCAGATATTTTTCTATGGCAGGGCACAGCACTTCATTCACCCACTCCGAAAAAATAAGCCTAGTCACCCATGCTTTTTTATTAGACTTCCACATCACAGACAAACGGGTTTTCTGCACATTATACTGTTTGAAAACCCTTGGATTTTCAGAATGATACACTAGCAAGGGTTTAATTTTTAAATCGCCACTCGCATTTGAACACAGCACAAGCGTAAACCTATCTTTCATAGGCTTGTGTCCAGGCAAGGATTTTTCCTCCTTGGTAATGTATGTCCTCTTAGGCATTCTTTTCCAAAACAGTCCTGTTTCGTCACAATTAAATACTTGTTGCGGTAGGTATCCCTCAGCCTCTGCAAACTCTTTAAATTCGTCAATAAATCGTCCAGCGGCTGGTTTGTCTGAGCTGGCTGCCTCCCCATGCCTTGTAACACTATGGATACCACTTCTCTTTCTAAATTTTTCAAACCAGCCCCTGCTTGCCTTAAACTCTTTCTTTTCTGCATCACTCGTTGCAGGGGTCTTCTTTAGAAGGTCTTCGTGCAACACCCTGGCTTTCTCAGAAATAATGGCCTCCGAAACACTATCACCCCTCAACTCCTTGTCGTGTATCCAAATTAATAACAACTTTTCCACTTCTTCAAGTATTTGTGGTCTTTGTGTCGTTAATGTTCTTACTCCTTTTGCCACATTAGCACTCATAATCTTATTTTTCTTCTTAAGTATAGTGCATATTGTTGATGTCGCTTTGTTGTACTGCCTACAAAGATCAACAACACGTGTACCGTTCTCATGCTTTCGAATGATCTCTTGTTTCTGCTCTATTGTCATCCTCACATGAGCTTTCTGGCCTTTATCCTTACCACTGGCTTTCTTGGGACTCATGGTGAGATATATAATAACAAATTGTATAGACAAATCACCAAAAATCCAACAAAACACTGAAAATTCACGACAAGAATTGATGTGGGGGTAGTCACTGCGCGCGAGACAATGGTGAACTGAGGGGCAGCAGGGCAGAGGGGCGACGATCGCCGAACGACCACGCGCTAGGTCGGCTGTACGCGTATCAACAAACTCGCGTTCAAACTCGACTCCCGAAGTAACCATCGCCTTCCGAGACAAATTTTTGGAGTAAATACACCTCGCCTTCCGAAAATCTCGCATACAGGGACAATCGCATTCCGAGGTACCACTGTATTTAATAAATTTCTGTGCTTCAAAGTCATGCATGATCTGAATATGATTTTTCAGTAAATTATTATAAGTACCTGCTGTATCATAAGGGTGAGGCATTGGTGAGCTGCTTTGTTCTCGTGAAGATCTCGTTGCTCAGGTGTTCCTGCAGCACGACGTCGTAATGGACTTGATCCAGACCCACCGACATTCAAGTGGAAGAGGGATGGTGCCAAACATACAGCCAAGTTGCTGGCATGCATCTGAAAAACATTTAGAATTGGTTTTATAACTATTTTTATCTCGTGTCAGATACATAAAAAACTACTGACGATTTTTCTAATCGTTATTCATTTACATGTCTAGTAGGAATTAATTTTTTGTTTTAAAGATTATTTTCATGATTTTTACTAGAGCATAAGACCTTTGTAATTATTCAGTCTGTTTATATCAAATTTACTGAAACTATTCTCCTTGAGAGAAGTGGAAAACCAGTGTTGAATGTAATGAAATGACAATTTCTGAGTGAGCCACAGTAGCTCCCTGAAAATTTTATACGGTACTGGTAAAATACCATCTAATAAGTGGCATCAATTTTAGAGTTCTTTTCAGCCTACCGGGGATGACGAGCCAAAACCTGGCCCCCCCCCCTTGGTAGCAGTGGCACTATGGCACATTTCAGTAAATTCAGCAGTGGCACTATGGCACATTTCAGTAAATTCAGCAGTGGCACTATGGCACATTTCAGTAAATTCAGCAGTGGCACATTATCAGTAAATTTTAATCATGTTTGCCACTACCATGGAAGCACCCAGAAGGTCAGTGAAACAAAACAGACCACTGCTGGTTAGAAGCGAAACCAATGCCTCAAAAGGCAAAAAAAACTCCCCCCAATAATGTAAACAAAACACTGAAAATTCATAAAACCAGTGCAAGCTCATTTGCCCCATGCTAATACAATAGTCTAGTATGAACAATGAAATGTGTGTAAGTAAGCCAACACAGCTCACCTGTGGCTGTGAAGTCTGATCTCAGCATGGCTTGGTTAGGTTGTGCGAACATCGGTGTGCCCCGCCATACAAAATTCGCTCAGAATTTCAGGGAAGACAGAAAGCCAAAACCTAGAGCCAGCAAGAAGCAAGAAACTAGAGCCAGAGTGACAGAGTGGACAACCTGGACTGTGCTACCATCAGCATGAACTGAGGGTGGAGCAGCTGGCTTACCTATCCCCCCCCCTAATATATATATATTATGGGAAAGGGGGGTAATTATTTCTTTACATAGTTGCAGAGAGTTCTTTTGTTTGAAGCATTGATCTTCCTATAACCAGCAGTGGTTTCTTTTGCTTAACTGACTTTGTGGGTGCTTCCCCGGTAGTGATGGACATAATTAAAATACACTGACAATTTTATCATAGTGCCACTGCTCTATGGACCTCTTTAGAGGAGGCAAGATTCTGACTTGTGGTCCCCCATAGGCCAAAAACAAATCCACAATTTATGGCACTTAGTAGTTAGGCACTATATCAGCATTGCAGCTTCAGGGAGTTTCAGCCACAAGGGGTTTTCCCCAGAAATCAATGTTAACTAATAAAATTTAAAAATATTTGAAGATGACAAATATATTTAGCCCTAATTCATGTACATAAACATTCTTGGTGATATACCTGATTTAGATGTGAATTGGCAGCAACGTCTGATAGAAAAGTTAAAAGTGCCATGAGAACTTCCCTATTCTCATCAGGAAGCAACAAAACCGCACACTGGAGAGCCTCAAGACGATGTTCGGCTGGTAAGTCTAATTGGAACAAGACAATAAGTTAATAATCTTAAACATACCATGAAGTGCACAATAAATAAATAAATGTCAGGCACAATTCTAAGTTTGATAAATATTTTAGGATATTCTAATTATATTGGCAGACTATGACTTTTCATTACCAGATTACCCTATGGTTATATGCATTGTGACTAAGTGACTGAATGAATCAATCAATCAATCAATCAATCAATAAATTCACTCACTCACACTCACTCAAGACAAAGTGGAAAAATTACTCAATGGGCTAGAAATAAAGCATTTGTACCTGATGGAGTTTCACCTCGGGTACTGCGAGAATGTGCAACTTAGCTGAGCATTCCACTCCAATTAATATTCCAGACATCCTTGTGCACAGGAATCTTAGCAGATATATAGAAAATGGCAGACAAAGTACCACCAATCTATAAAAATGGTAATCGAAATTGGAACATGCTGGAAGGGTGACAGGGAGACTTCTGCCATGGATGAAAAAATTTCTAACTGACTGACAGATGAGGGCAGTATATCAGAGACAATATCTGATTGGATAAGTGTTACTAGCATAGTACCACTGGGTTCAGTTCTTGCACCAATAATGTTCATCATCTACATAAATGATCAACCAGAAAGAATACAGAATTATATGAACATATTTGCAGATGATGTTAAGATATTGGCAAAGATAGGAGATTGAGATGGTTGTAATGCCCTTCAAATTGATCTAGATAAAATAAGGGCTTGGAGCATCAAGTGGCAAATAGAATTCAATGTGAAAAATGCCATGTTATGGAATGTGTAATCAGAGAAAATAGACCACACACAACTTACAAATTATGTAGAAAGGGATTGCAGAACTCTAATAAAGAATGATACCAAGGGATAGTTTGGGATAGTAAGTTATTGCCAGAGGAACACACAAAGAACATCGTGAGAGGACCGTATGCGTCGCTTTCTAACTTCAGACTTGCTTTTAATTATATGGATGGAGAAATACTGTTCATGAGTCAACTGTTCATGACTTTTTTTAAACTAAAATTGGAATATGCAGCAGTTGTATGGTGTCCAAATCTCCAAAAGTACATAAACTGGAAAAAGTGCAACGGCATGCTATAAAATGGCTTTCAGAACTAAAAAACAAGAGTTACGAGGAGAGACTAGAGGCATTAAACGTGCCAAACTAGAAGACAGAACAAAAAGAGGTGATATGATCACCACTTACGAAATACTAACAGGAATCAACCAAATTGACAAATTCCTCAAACCAGCAACTTCACGAACAAAAGGATATAGATTCAAGCTAAGGAAACAGGTGATGAAAAAACCAGAGTTGAATGTAATGAAACACCATTTTCTGGGTGAGTCCAGGAGGCTCCCCAGAGCTATCCAGGCTGATATGCTAATATCTGCTTAGCATATCAGCTATCCATACTGTGTATGGAGTTCTGTGGGTCTACCGGGGACCATGAGCCAGAACCTGGACCCCCTGAGAGAGGCATGAGGAGCAATGGCCTATGGAAACCCCCATTTTCTTTTCCAACCCCCATGGTTAGAAGCATTCATGTCTGTTCTAACCCCAACCCCCCAAGCCCCAACCTCACAAGAAAAAACCAGGGCAGCCGGAGAAATACTAAGGAAGGGAGCCCACTGGCAGACCCATATGTTATAGCTGGAGGAACAGGCTCAAATGCCTCCGGCATTACCCCGGAAGGGAAAATCCCCGAGACCGCCTGAGTCTCAAGACCATTGAAACCCCGCCCCAACCCCAAACCCACAGTCAGTCTAGGTCGAGATGCACAGAGGAAAAGGGGAGGGGTGACCAGACTAAATCACAACAAGGAAAAGACAAGGGGGCACGGATGGATTTTTAACACCCCCAAGCCCCGGTCACAACAATCAAAACAGGGCAGCCTTGAGGCTTCCAGGGAGCAAACAATCTAGCGTGTTGCAACCACCTGAACCCAACATGCAACGCTTGTGCTGCCTGCACCCGTATAGTCAGCATATTACTGGGGAACTGAGTCACAAACAAGCAAAAAAACTCACAGGACTCCGGGTCAAAGATGCCACCGACCCAACAGGCAGCAGATGGAGGCAAAAACAGGGAGTCACCCTGAGACAAGGGGACAGAGCAACCTTCAAACTCACACAAAGCAAGAGGGGATTCAGGGGTCACATCCATCAGCCCTGCGCATCCCCCTGGGGATTCCCAGGGTCCTGAGACAGAACTCACACTCAGGAAAGCCCAGGTAGGGTACTGCTAACTGGCACCCAAGTCTACCAAACAACTTTCTAAGAATTGAACCCCCAGGACGTGTACACTCACGGGGACCAAGCAGGAAGTACCACTGGAATAGAGAAGAGTACGCAGTACACAGGGGGCAATAACCTCCGGTTATTGGTGTCTGCCAATAACCATATAATAACCAAAATAATAACCAATATAATAACCAAAATAACCAATAATATTGGTGTTATTGGTGGTCTGCCCCCACCACCAGGTGGGCAACAAAAAGAAAAAAGAAAACACCACAAGAGGACAGCATACCCAGGCGGAACAGAGCCGGCTGCTATGATTGGTGAAAACAAGCTGCGTAGTACCCTGCACCCCTAACCAGTGCAAACTGCCTCCTATTCTATGGCAAACAAGGGAGTCAGAACACCCTAGCACACAAAGGGCAGTTGAAAACCGAGCAGTAAACAGCTAAGCAGAGGCAGAACCCAAGGAACTTGTGAAAGGTGGCCCCAAGGCCCAAGGGCAGTACCTACTGGGCACCTAAGGAAGGAAACTGTAGGCGCATGCAGCCCGAGTACTGAAGAATTACTCCTGGCTCGCACACCCCCTATAAAACAGCCACCACGCCACAAGCCATAGAGCTGAAACCTAGTCTGGAGCCAGAGCACACAATCTCTGCCTAGCGCATCAGCCTCAGAACTGAGGTCTTGGGTAGCTGGTGCGAGGGGTCTGGGGCTTACCCTTCCCCCTCTCGAGGAGGGGGGAGCTGTGCAGATGGCGGCGCGGCGACGTGGTGACATCATGCTCATTAGCTCTTTTATTTTGGGAGTTCTGTCCACTAGTTCGGCTCTCAGTAGCAATTTCGTAACCAGAATAGGGGTTTGTTTTGAGATGCTTACCTTTCTGGGTACCTGACCCGGTCGATGGCAGACATAGAATGCTTCCAACCACACGGGGGTTTCTATAGGCCATTGCTCCCTGTGCCTCTCTGAGGGGGGGCCAGGTTCTGACTCGTGGTCCCTGGTAGGCCTAAAGAACTCCATACACATGACTGAGGCCAAAGTCTGACATTAGCAATATTAGCCTGGATAGCTCCGGGGAGCCAACGAGGCTTTCCCCAGAAAAAATAGCACAACTCTGAGAGCGCCTAAAAGCGCTTTGTGCACTGCAGTGGTTAAGAGGATGGCCAAAAACTACAGTAATTGATTAGACTGTGTGATGAGGATGTTTAGCAAAGAGCAAAATAAGATATTAAGTGCTGGATAACAGTATGCAAGTTGTGAATAAAAAAATAAAGAATCCATATACAGTACTGTATTTTTATCCTTAAATAAAAATAATATAAGTGAATATGCCCATTTTGCATATAGTTAACAATATACAAATTATTTAACTTACACTGAAAGATTGCAATAAACATTTCTGAGAGTTTGTTGGTAAGCAAAACTTCTGGTAGTTCCCTGAAGTATGTCTTCACCATATCAGCAATGTCGCAGGTACCAAATGATGAATATTGGATGTCTTCCCCAGACTCATGATATTCTCTTAGTTTTTGAATTCGAGAACGAACCCCAGGTTTTCTGAATATACCAACCTGAAAAAAATATGGATAATTTTAGTTCATTATAACAATTTAGATATAGTATTAAATATTTATCATAAAACCAGCGTTGAATGTAATGAAACGCCATTTTTTGGGCAAGCCCCGGAGGCTACCTGGAGCTTATCGGGCTAATGTATGTTATTAGACCAGGACATTAGCTATGGAGTTCAGACCTACCTGGGACCATGAGCTAGAACCTGGTCCCTTCAAAGAGATTGCAGGGAGCAATGGCTCTGGACCCCCCCCCCCCCTGCGGTTGGGGGTTTTCCTTATCTGCCATCGACCGGGGTTTGGCACCCAGAAAGGTAGGCATAACAAAAACCCCCACGTGTTAAGAAACTAACAACAAAAACCAAACAGAGCGGTAGAACTCCCTACAATCCCAAGGAAACAAGCAAACGTAGCACACTACTGTACTTGTCGCGCCGCTCGTCCGCGCAGCCCTCCCTTCCCCGAGAGGGGGAGGGAGGGTTCTCAGCAAGTTCTCAGAGGTTCTCAGCAAGAACCTCTATGAGGAATGGTTCCCGAACGCCTCAGGAAAGATAACCTTGTCATGCAGGGGCAGTACTCACAGGGCGCTTAGGGAAGGAAGCCCCTAAGCACATGCAGCCCTGGTACTGATGAGGAACACCTGGCCACCGCACAACACAAAACATGGCAGTGAGCACCACGAAGGCAAACACCGCCTAGGAAACTAAGACCAGAGAAGCGTCTGTCTCGGTTGACATTAGCTTACGAACTGGAGTGCTATGCAGCCGGCGCAGAGAGGTCCAGGGCACCCCCCTCCCCCTTTCGGAGAAGGGAGGGCTGCGCAGACGAGTGGCGCGGCAGTAGTGTTATGTTTGCTTGTTTCCTTGGGATTATAAGGAGTTCTACCTCTCTATTCCGTTTTTGTTGTTAGTTTCTTACCATGTGGGGTTTGTTTTATTATGCCTACCTTTCTGGGTGACTAACCCCGGTCGATGGCAGATAAGGAAAACCACCAACCACAGGGGGATTTTCCAGAGCCATTGCTACCTCAACCTCTCTGAAGGGGCCAGGTTCTGGCTCATGGTTCCTGGTAGGTCTGAACTCCGTAGCTAATGTCCCAGTCTAATATAACATACATTAGTCCGATAAGCTCCAGAGAGACGTAGGGGCTCCACTCAGAAAAATACATGAATATTCACCCCCATCTTTCTTTTTAGGTAGTACTATACTTATAGGAAGAACAAGGACCATAATACCTGAAGATATACCGACGTACAACACAATTAGAAAGTAGAAATCGGTACTACTGAATTTGGACAAATCGGAAAACGATTTTCTACTTATGTTGCAAAGACAGACTAACTTAACCTAACTTTCCTAGGCCTAATACACGCTATCTGAGGCCTAATATAGTACACATATATGCTATACTAGGCCTAGGAATATTTAAGTTTGTTAATTAGCTTAATTTTTTCAGACTGTAATGTGAATAGTACAAAGTTCTACTTTGTAATTGCCTAGTACATCAATGTTTGCACAATGGTGCACAGTATCCACTCGATTTAACGGCCTATATGGAAATGTACCCAGGTCGTTAAATGCGGGGCTCCGGTATTTCCAAGTTGTTATGTGTCGGTAATATTTCAAGTAACATTCAGGTAAGATATATTTTGTACAGAGAGCCACTTGATCCACCACTCTAATGCCTTCTACCCTGTGATGTCACAGTTTCACGGCACATCGTTTTGATTTGTCATGAGGCTGGAGTGACTGTGACTTTGTTGGACATATCTGCACAATCATGGAACATCCGTACACCATGTTGGCTCCAAATGCACACATTGTGTCAGTGATGACTGACTAGTGGGTGGATGGGCAGGCAGAGTGGGCAGGCGGGCAGGGAGGGAGAGGTTGAAATGTGCCAGGGAGGGAGGGAGGGAGGCAGAGGCTGGGAGGTAGGCAGGGAGGGAGGGAGGTAGAGAGGCAGGTAGTCAGGCAGAGGCTGGGGAGGGAGGGAGGGATGGGAGGGAGGGATGGGAGGGAGGTATGGGAGGGATGGATAGGAGGGAGGGAGGGAGGGAGGGATGGATGGATGCGAGTTGAGTTGAACTACGTGACCAGTGAAGCAGAGATTGAGTGTGTATGGGATGTAGGGGGGTGGGGAAGGAACTGGCTCACTCCGATAAACCTAACACACTCGACCTCGTTAGTCATATTTGTTTCTTAAATTCTGGATGTACATCATCATATATATTTTTAGTTTACAGATTTTGTTTAGTAATATTATTAGGATAATAACAATTTATAAAAAATACTTGTTTCATGAATGCTTTATTGTATTAGATGGAGATTCTCCAAGCTGTCTCTGGCTGGCAATCTACTGAGCCACATCCCAGAAGTCTCTCTTGGGGAGGGGGGGGGGGAGGCTAGAAGTGAGGGTGTGGGGGAGAAATGCAGTTAGGGTTAGAGGGGACGATAGAGGTCGGCAGCCTGCTTGCCATGTGAGGACTCCTTGGTGCCAAAACAAACCCAATACCAACCAACGGTTCTATCAGACCGGTATTTAAGGCTCCAGATACCGGTCTCCCAAACCGGTCATTATTACCGGCAGATCGGTAAATAAGAGGCCGTTAAATCGAGTGGATACTAGGAACAAAAAGTATTATCTAAACAGGAGGATGGTTTGGAATATGATGTAAGTGGGAACGAAAGGAAAAAGATTACCTTTAAAAAATCGTTTTCTAAAATTTCACAATTTCACTACACTATAAAGACATGCTATTATGTACATACTTGATCTAAACTGGTGGCTCTAAGATACTGGAGAGCAGCTTGAATACCAGGAGGAAGTGGTTGGCCTGTTCGCTGTGTGATTACCAGGAGAGGAACACCAAAAACTTGCCTATCACGATAATCGGGCGTCTTAATTTTTCTCATAAATTTGGGGAGTTCCCAATTCCATCCACTACGATTGCTCGGACAGTACCGTTCCATAAGTGCTGTTAGCCTGCATAAATAAACAAGAGAAGAATTTGCAAAACAGGAATCCTGAATCATCGTATTTCCCTTTAACCCTTGAAATGCGCAACACATTAATAGCTGTGGTGAGTAACTGTTGCAAGTAACTGTCGCAGAATTGTGCACCACAGCTACTGATGTGTTGGAGTACAGAGCAAGATTTAAAAGTCCCGTGGCTACACAGGGGTTCACATCAGCTTCCTCCGGGCTCTTGTAAACAGACGCCATTTAAAAATAAATCATGATAGTATTACAAAAGACCCCTGAATGTGAAAAAAATTACCAGGATTCTGATAGCAGCAGGACTGTTGATAATTAGCACTGTGTAGTATGGTGGGAACAGTAATGCTGAGGGAGGGAGGGAGGTAGCTTCATCTGCCGACTCAGTGTGGCCACCTGTTATTGTCTAGAATCACCACATCAGCTTAGTGGTTCGATATGGTGAACACAAATGTAGATGCTTAAATATAACGGGAGTATATAGTGTAATAACAGCACAAACAATATGATGGGAGGAGGAATCTTAGTGAGGGAGGGAGGCAACATCAGCTGACTGTGTGGCAGCAACAGAAATGCTAAGCTATATTAGAGCATGTTTGTTAAAAAGTTTCAAGCATTTACCTATATACTGAGAAAGACAAGAGTAAACAGCAATAAAGCCAGGATTAAGGCTCATGTTGGACATGTTGTGTATAAGAGATGATTTGACATTATGGCATCAATGGAAAGTAGAGGCAGGAAAGATTATTTTCAGACAAAATCAATCTACAAAATTTTTAGAGTCCCTAATAAGACAGAATAGGGCATTGTTCATGTCTGCAAAGAAATTATCTCTACCATCTAAAATAAATATACATACCTTAGTAGTGCTCTTTTTCTTAAATGAAGCATTTGACCTGCGCTGAAACCATTTAACTGTGTGCCCAAATACCGTGAACTGGATGTAAATGATTTTCTGTTGAAACTGTGCCATCTGTCAACTGTTATTCTGTGAAATAAAGTATGAAATTTAAATAATTATGTAACAGCCATTACAAAGACAAGCTAATTTATCTACTACATTTCTATAACATTATTCAATAAAAAAACAGCGTTGAATATAATTCAATACCATTTTCTGGGCGAGTCCCGGAAGCTCCCCAGAGCTATCCAGGCTAAATGGATGTGTATAACTTTCTGGCATCAGTTAATGTGCATGGAGTTCTTGCCTACCGGGGACCACGAGCCAGAACCTGGGCCCCCCTCAGAGAGGCAGGAGGAGCAATGGCCTATAGAAAACCCCATGTGGTTGGGAGCATTCTATGTCTACCATCGACCGGGTCTGGCACCCAGAAAGGTAGGCGCTCCAAACCCCCCCCCCCCCTATTCTGGTGAAACTATTGCTACAAAAGCTGAACGAGTGGACAGAACTCTCCAAACGAAAATTAGCAAACGAGCATGATGTTGTCATATTGCCGCGCTGCTGTCTGCGCAGCTCCTCCCTCCCAGGGAGGGGGAAGGGGAGTCCCAGACCCCCCACACCGGCTATACACCCGTCAGTTCTGAGGTTAGTTGTCAAAACACGTGAAAAACTGAGGACCAGAGGGAGGGTGGGATGCCGTGGAGCCTCCGGATCTCACCCAGAAATCCAGGTCCAGAGACACCATCCAAGAACCCGGCTACAAGAGAAGCCGGACCTGAGACAGAGTGGTCATCCAAAAGGAGGGGCAAGGAATCCAGGGGTTCAGGCGGGACAAGTCCAGAATGAAATGCAGATCCGCACAGCCCCATTTTGGCACTGGAAACAAGCGGGAAACTCACTTGAGGGACAAGGTCATTTCGACCACACCCAAGTGCACCCACTCCAAGATGATCTGACGAAGCGAAGGGGAAAAAGCCTTCCCCGCCAGCCCCGAACCCCCCTATTGGAGGAGCTGCCGTCCAACACCACCTCATTCCGGAAGACACGACCTGAAATGCCCACAAATTGTGGGATCAAGTGTGGGTGAACAGAGCCAGCTTCCCCACCCCTTCCAATGCCCTGTCAGTGAGGCGACCCGAGAACCCGACTTGTGCAGAGCAAGCACTGCACCGACCAGACGCCGGCTCAGAAACTGGCACCAAGGGCCCACTTCGACCAGCTGATACTCAAGCCCTGGCACAACCGTTCCAGGAAGCACAACACCATACAACCCGGATAACCAACAAATTGGAAAGGGGTGGCAACTAGCAGAAGGCTCCTGCAAAAATTGAGCTACAACCGAGTCCATAAACAACAGCGGACAAAACGGAGACGAAAACCTAATAGCCAACGACTCGGCCGCCAAAGTCAACACAGCAGACAACGACCTGGTACTCAAAGCCTCCACATCCTCCAAAAGCCAGTCTAAGGACAGCTCGAGAAGGGAAAAAGAAGCGGAGGACCGAGGCCAACTGCAAGTACGATGATCTTCCACAACCAAAGCAGCAGTTGAGAGGGAAAAGAAGGGACCTGGACATGCAACTGGAGCACACCAACCTCATGAATAAGCACAGGGGCGAGCAAGCATGTATTGAGGTGCTCAAATGTGCCCCCTAAGTAAACCTGCAACACAGTAGTGAGCTCTCGCGACTCAAGCGTACGGGTTCGACAGAACGTATGCCACGCCCCCAACAAAAGAAAGGGCAGTCTGCAAGCCAGGAAGATGCCGAAATTTCAAAACACACCCAATATGGGGAAGAAGGCCCAAACTCAATGGAGACCTGTTACATCTCCGAGGCAAAATCCAGTTCTCGCAAGTGGTAGGCACCAAGGGCCTTCCGAACCTCTACAGGGGAAATCCGAGAGGAAGAAAACCTCTGGAAGGACGAAACCGCGCAACCCAAGGGAAGAGGGAACCCAGAAACAAACCTGGGTGGGAGCCGACCCACCCAGTGCAAATTCGTACAAGGAAGATATAAAAACCATGAACCTTGCAACAATAGACCCCCGCCCCAAAGGTACCAAAGCCTAGGCAGGATCGAAAGGGGCCTAAGTGCCCCAGGCCGACTCCCCCCCCAGCCCTGGAATCCTCCAACCCAGGTTGGAGGATTCCAGAGCTGTCCTCTATGCCCTCCACCCGTCAAAAAAAGACAGAGTCCAAGGTAAAGTATTCAGAAAAAGGGACCTGCTGGAAGGACCCAGAAGCCTCGGCGGGAAGAATGGGCTCAAAGGCCTCCATCTCCGCCTCAAATGGGGCAATCCCCGGAGCCCGTCTCATGGGCTAAATCATGTCGCAACTCCGAAACCCTCAGACATTTGGAAGCCGGCAGCAGGGAAGGAGGGGGATGGTGAACCACGTCAACAAGGAAAGGATGAAGGGGTGCGGACTGAACCAAGGCTGAAGCGACCAACGCCCACAAGTCCAGGGTCCCTAAAACCAAAATGGGGCAGCCCCGGGACATTCCAGCGGGAAACCAACCTAGCGTGTGACAACAACCTAAACCTAGCATGCAACGCGCTTGCTACTTGACCCCATACCTCAGCTAAAAGCAGAATGGGTAAATTGGAGCAGGAATGGAGAACAAATCTCGCAGGACTCTGCGTTGAAGGTGTCATTGATCCAACAGCGAGATGAGACTCGGAGGACACATCTATTGGTCAACCAAGCCCCGACAGGGGTTTCCAGGGCCCGCAATGGGAAGTATCCCTACAGGAAGCTTAGGCACGGGTACTGTAAATATATTTATATATACCGGTATATATTTATATATACCAGTATATATTTATATATACCAGTATATATTTATATATACCAGTATATATTTATATATATCCATTTATATATATATATGAGTAACAACTCGGTCTCTGTTCTTACTTTGCTTATTTAAACAGTCAGCTTGAGGAGCTTAATATTTAATAACAATTTAATTCTAAACTAACCTTCTTTGACAAGGCTCATCATTCTCCTCATCATCGTGTGTGGAAGGTAAAGGAGAGTCTCTACTCTCCACTGTACACTCACTGCTTCCCGAGCCCTCAGGAGCACTGGCTTCTGAAAATATGCACATCATAAATATTATAGTGATTTTTTAGCTTATAATAAGAAGCATGGTGACTTTAAAAAATTCTCTTTGATATGTTTAATCCAACTAAATAAAAAACCAGCGTTGAATGTAATGAAACGCCATTTTCTGGGCGAGTCCCGGAGGCTCCCCGGAGCTTACTAGGCTGATATGCTAATGTCAGACTTTGGCATCAGTCATGTGTATGGAGTTCTTGTGGGCCTACCGGGGACCACGGCCAGAACCTGGCCCCTCTAGAGAGGCAAGGGGAGCAATGGCCTATAGAACCCCCGTGTGATTGGAAGCATTCTATGTCTGCCATCGACCGGGTTAGGCACCCAGAAAAGTAGGCGTCCCAAAACAAACCCCTATTCTGGTGAAAATTGCAAATTCTGGGGGGAGCCCCTATGGCTCCCTGGAGCTAACTACCCACAGAGGAAGAGAATAGGGGCTTACCTGGGAGGCGGTTGCCGCTCACTCCTCAACGCGAAGTCGAGACAACTGGCTGCATCCGCCGACCCAAGGCGACACAAGCCCGACTGGGCCCAGGAATGTTTACAAGGTAACGAGCAGCCAGGACACTGTTCGACCGGCAAAATCCCCGCGCCCGAATGTCAGCCC